ACATAAATATATTTCACTGGAATTTAATGTGAAAGTGTTGGTCTTTCACATTAAATTCCAGTGAAATATATTTATGTTTGTGGTTGTAATGTGACAAAATATGGAAAAGTTCAAGGGGTATGAATACTTTTGCAAACCACTGTATGTGCACCTGGATCAGTTGCCTCTTCATGTGACTTCATGCTCCAGACTCATACATGTAATGTGTGACCGGCTGGTGAAAAGCTGGGACATCTGGGTCGTACCAGATTTTCTGGGTTGTTGGCAGTAATGTACGAAAATGCTGACTCAGATGGGTTTTTTTTCTGTCTCACTCCCATTTCTCCTTTTTGCATTTCTACATAGAGCCGTCTTATKATCCAACAGTGCAAAATGTGAATTATTGTCATTTTTCTACTGGTATTAAAGGAATCGTCCTAATCAGAAGCACAAACCACACAACTGACTCATTTTAGTGAGAATGAGCAGCTCTACCCACAAGATCCCACCAGATGATGAGAAGACTGTGGTATAAATTATGTCATCGTTTTATTAAAGAGTTCTGGTGTCATAAAGTCCTGCTGCCTGGTCAGTGGTTTATCAGAGGGTTTATGAAGTGAGGTGAACAGTTCAGCTGCTTTGAGCTAAATGTCTTGAGTTTTCTTTGAGCCTGGTCAGATCACCATCAGAACTTCTGCTGCACAGCAGGAAGTGATGAGCAGTACGTCATTCTTTTTCAGGACGAATTCTCTGAAAAATGTCAGAAGTTATCCATGTCTGACATGATTAACTTCTGCTCTTTATTATCTAACATGGTATTAAAGTCCCACTGGTAACAGTTGTTGCCTTATTTTTGCTCCGTACACATTTAGCACATACTTCAGAGCAGGGGTCTGCAAACTTTACAATCAAGAGACATTTGTGCTACTGACGCAGTAATAAAATGTGTCCAGAGCTGCAAAATAAGCTACAACTGTGGTTATCAACTGGTGGTCTGTGGGCCTTTTCAAGTCCTTACCGGGAACTTTTATGGCCAGTGGAGGTGACATAAAACTAAAAAATATATTGCTTATTTTATTTTTTATTATTATTTTTACCCATCAGGACAAATAAAGACTATATTCATGTAAACAATAAAAATACTTTATATAGTTTACACCTAATTTCATAAAAAATAGTACAACTGAATTATTCAGGCTTATTTTTTTTCTAATTCTTATTATGTATTTTTTATATTATTTAAAGGTAATTCTGATGGATTTGAGAGAAAGACAAAAGTTGTATTTAAGTAAACAACAGGCTAGCATAAGCTAACATGTTTTACTTTTTGTATTAGTAGTATTGATCACGTATTTGCTTACAAATTGATTTCTGTTGTGGGTATAAAAACAACAAAAAATTATTCTGTTTGGTCACATTTTCAAAGAACCACTGTGGAGGGACCAAAGAGCCACATGTGGCGCGAGAGCCGCAGGTTGYAGACCCCTGCTTCAGAGGCTGGATACTGCTGTGTTCACTGTTAGAGGCCAGAAGAGCCACAAGAGGGCGCTGCTGCTCTGATCAGTTCTCCACACAGCATTACATGTACGAATCTGGAACACGAAGGAAGTCAAGTAAATATWTGATGTTTATGATGATGATTTTTCGGGGCTGCTGCCCCTCACCTCTGGAATGCCCTGCCTGACTACCTCAGGGAACCTCAGTCTGTTGACTCTTTTAAATAGCAGCTGAAGACATTTTTTTATTCACTCTTTTAGTTTACTCCTCTTTTATTCTCTTTAATTATTCCATTTTATTCTTATTATTGTTTTATCTTCTTTTATTGTTTGCACTTTGAGATCTGCTTCAGATATAAAGTGCGTTACAAATATAATCTATTATTATATGATGTGAAAGTGAAAATGCAAAATTAGAGGTTAAGTCTTAAACTGGACTTCTACACGCTGCTTCCCACAGACTCCTGCTGAAAATCCTTCAGCAGCAGCAGTCCTCCTTCGTGTTGCAGCACAGTGAGAAGGTTCTACAGACAACAGAAGAGGCCTTACAGCGGCTGGATCCTACAGAAACCACACTGCAGGCTCTCACTCAGGTCAGACTCATTTTAGTTTGAAACACAAAGTGTAAAGAGTTGATTTCAAAAGTATCTTCGAAGTTGAACCACGGTAACATTATGTTGGATCATCAGGTCATGTCGGAGGACCTGGTTTCAGAGAAGATGAGGGAAGACTTCCAGGATGGGGAGAGTCTGCTCAGTGTACATCTGCAGAGTTTCAGAGAGCGCTGGTGGAACAAGATTTTACTGACTGGTTTATTGGAGACCCACCAGCTACCAGAAACATCTTAATGCTGCACAGAAGTCAGCCGATTGTAGAGGACTGAAAATAAAACACATACAGTATTTTTTTTTTACCTATATTTACGTAAAATCTTAAAAAAATTAAAATCACAAATAAACCACGGTGTAATGGGTATTTTTTATGTTTTAAATGTTTCACCGCTCATGAAAGATTGTGAACTGTGTACCTTATTCTGTGGCAAATTTCAAGACTTTTCCATTTTTCACACCAGGAAAGTCCTTTGGTCCACAACCAAAAGTGGACTTTATTTTTTTGTTTTGTTGTTTTTGTTTGCATTCTTATTGTGGTTTTTTTTTTACAAGTAGACTAATTTATAAAGCCATGCAGGTGACGGTCATTGCTCCCATTGATAAGGCAGAAATGATTGGGGGTTGGGGTGTCAGAGCACAGAACCTAAAACAAAGAAGGTGCTGTTAATACAAATTAGGGCTGCCACAAACGATTATTTTTATAATCTATTAATCACCAATTATTTTTTCGATTAGTCGACTAATCAGATCATATGTTAATTGAATATAAAACATACAGCTTATGACGCAGAATGCAATTTTGTTTTGCATTTTTCTGTTTTGATTTTAGTTTTCTATCTTGACACTTCGATGTCTTGCTTGGTCTAACAGCAGCTTCCAACCTGCTCATTT